AGGGCAGAGGCCATTGCCCACAGAACCCGGCTCCCGGAGACGCGCCTCGGGTCACTGGCCTCCGACGACTACTTTATTATCAAGGGGCCCAAGGACACACACATAAATACACACAAATAGAAATATCCCCCATATTTTCCCATATTTTCTGGGTTTCTGTCTTCCCCCCCACTTCCCATATTTTCCCATATTTTCCTGGGAGTCGACGATTAATTGTGTCTGTGTGTTTTTTGCCCCTCCTGATATTAGGCACTGCGACGCCTTCATGGTCGCCCTGCTTCGGCAGGCCAGCTCGGCGTCGTCTGTGCACCGTGAAGTCCACGCCTGCCTGGGGGCCTCGGCCGCGCATCTGTTGAGGGGCTCGCTGCGAAAACTCCATGGCGGCGCCGAGGTAGACGGCGTACCAGAGGTGGAAGGCAACATCTCCGCGTCGGCTCTCAACTCAGAGGGCCCAGGAAACATCCAAACAACTGTGGACTCAAGGGTTCCTTTCAGACCCAGGATGACGACGATGACGGCCGCGATTGGGCCTCGGACCCGGCGCTGCCTGCAATTGGGTTCGATCCCGCGGAAACGGTCGACCAGGGTGCCCCAGACTCGTTTCGTAATCTTTTTTGTTCATCGCCCAGGATCTTCCAGGTACGGCCCCGCCCTTGCAGATGCTCGCGCCGCAGGCGGCATCCAGGATCTTCGCTCGTGGGGTCATCGGCCGCGGGCGCAGCGGTGGAACGGCGGCCCGAGGTCCATCGGCCAGACGCTTGGGCTGCCTGACCTCGTAGCTACTGGACAGTCGATGGCGACGGTCAAGTCGCCCGGTGGCCCCGTGCGCCGACGGCCTGGGCGGCCAGTTGGAAGAGACGTTTGGCTTTCTTGTCGGCCGAGGCCAGGAAGGACAGCCTCTTGGCCCGTCTAGCCCCTTCTCCTCTACGTTGTTGACCTGCCGCGTGGCCTCCTTCCTCCCCGCTGTGGCCCCAGCGCCCAGGTCCTTAACGGTGTCTACGAGTTTAAGAAGGACGTTCGCATGACCGCGTAGTTTCCCAGCAGCGCGACCCATCTCGGCAGAGGAGGCCACTGGGCAAGACTTGGTGGAAATGATGCCACTTCTCTGCGCTAAGTCATCCTGCAGCTCAATTGCCGCAGGAACATGACGTCGAGCAATATCGTCTGCACTACCATGGAGAGACTGGGTCAGGTCCTTGGCGTAAGCATAGACAGGCGCATGGGGAATTCAACGATGGGCTTTCTCAATCAAATCATAAACATAGCATGTAGTCCACGGGGGAAGTTGAGAGCAATCAATTAATAGACTATGTCCAGCATGCATAATACGCGAAACCACTGCCTCCGCCTCGAGCGCCTTCGGGGCGGCGCGGATCAGGGGGCCCGATGACAGGGGCGCAGCAGAGGAGTCGACGCCGCGGGCCAAACGAACAAGCTTGGAGGGGTCAAACAAGTTGCCCGTATCTCAATGTGCAGAGATGGACGCTCGGCCTCCGTCGGGGCCAGTTCATGCGCGAACTCTCGGATTATGGCGGCCCTGGCGGCGGGGCCAATAAATTTTGCAATATTTTCCTGACCGCGTGCGCCTGCGCCTACGTTGCGACGCCACCTCGACGAAAAACCCCCGCCCCCTGTACTTCAATGTTGGCATCGAGCGAGCGCCCCTAGTCCTGCTGGGCAATACAATGCAAATCAACGTTGAGATGTGCGTGTGGTGGCGGGGGTGAATTCCTGAGAGATCGATGGGCTCTGATGCAAGTGGGCGCGATGTTTCTCGGGGCGTTCGGGGAACTTGCGATATTTTGTCCACCCACTGGGGGCCGGCAGATTTTTCACAGCCGTGTCCCAAAAAGCGAAGTGGAAGTCGGTGCGCCCTCTTCGATTCTTGGTATAGCGCAGGGTGCGGCATTTCTTGATGGGTCTTTCAGAGCAGAGCGACGCGGCAGAAGTAGACCTGATCTGGGAACGCACGAGTATATGCGATCGCATTGAACAGATCGGTAAAATACCGCGCGGCCTCCAGCGGCGGCATGGCGATGTCGCGCAGTGAACAGCCGTCAACTCCTAACCCGCCGCCGACAGCAAAATACTTGGAGACGCCGGTTTGGAGACAGCGTTTGAAGCTGGCCAGGCCAGTTTCTCGAGCCTGCCCACGCGCGCGACGATGGATGGTGGCCAATCCATCTTCCCATGCCTGAGCCGGTCTCCGCCAGGGCGCCGATCTGCTGATGGTCTTCGCCAGCGCGCTGAGCCAGCGCGGCCCCGAAGGATTCGAAGCGCTCGGCGCCTCCGCGCCTCGGGGCGGCAGGGGGATCAAACGACATAGAGGAGGTGCAGGGCCAAGAAACCAACGTGGGGCACGAGGAACCTTGCTTCGAGTTCCCTCTCCTGTTCAGGGACCTAGGGTGGGCGACCATTCCAAGACCTCGTTTCCCCCCCGGCCTGGGGCCATTCCTGGGTCCGCCTCGTGAGGCAACGCTTTTCAGTGGCAGCAGGCCATTGTTGGCATTCCTCAGAAAGCGGCCCTGGAGGTCCACCTCCATGGGGACGGGAGGAAAGCAGCTCGTACTTCAAGTGGCGCAAGAACTTCTTGCGGTCCAGCTCGGTTCAAATAGCGACGCCAAGGCAACTCTGGTCCAGGTGCGTGCTCAAATGCGGCTGGCTTGTCGCGTTCCAAGACCTCATTCGGCGCAATCCCCACTGGAAGTTGGCTTGGTGCAGCAGCGTGGGCTTTGAATCCAGACTTGAGATCGGCACTCATGTTCGTGTGCGGGCGGATGTTTCGGGAGACCACTGCGAAGTCGATCATTCTGCCCTCGCCTTTACCACGCGTGAAATGTACATTGCCGTGTTGCAGGAAACAGCCGTTCACGGGCTCGCAGAAACCACGTTCATGAAGGGCAATCTGTTAATTTTTGAAACCACTGAAAATAATGAAACGACAACCTCTTGCAATCACTTGATGGCGTGGCCAGCCAGGCCCAGCGCGGAATTCAAGTGCACCGCTCCAACAGTAATGGGGGACCCATTGGTCTCATTTCTGTGCAGAATCAACTTTCACCATGGCCAAAATTATGGGCCCCGCGACGGGCCTCAATCAGATATCTTCTGCAATCGATCCCTTTTTGCACTGCGGCGCCTGCACCTCCGTTCCAGCCGCCGCCCGTGGAAGGGAAAGCTGGCTGGACACGGGCGCCGCCCCATTCGAGAACAACCCTTTTTTCGCAGCAGCCACCTGCTGGGGGCCGCAATGATGTTCAGTTAAAATGAACAGGCCAAACAAGCCAACGGCATGAGCAATCCCGTGCTTCGTCAGCGCTGACCAATTCGCGTCATTACAGAACTCCAGGTCGAGGCACTCCGTGGACGGGCTAGAGCTGCCTGGGAGCCACCTCCTGGGGGGCAACGAGCCCAGCAACGCTAGGAACCCACGAACAAGTGGCGTGAGCCGGCACCTTGAGCCGCTTCGCCGGCTTCGCCTCGGACTTCTTCGACAGGAGGACCTCCTGCCTCTCCGCGTCGGTGGCGCTGACGGGCTTAGGGGGGCGCTTGCGAAGCGCCTGCATGCCATCGCGTTCTTCAGGGCTGAGCATCTCATCGTCGCCTCCATCGTCACGAACATAATGTTCAGAAGCTTGAAGTAGGTTATGCGCAGCGGTCTGAGCAATCCGTAGCGTCTGCCGCTCACTGAAGGGGACGCGGGTCTGGTAAGCAAGCTTGCGCTGGTCATTGTCGTCCATGGTGTGGGTGGTAAACAGGGCGCTGGGGTCGAAACGGGATGCACCAGGTTCAGCACCAGGAGCACCAGGCACAGCAGGAGCACCATGGGACTGTGGGCCAGGTCCACCATCAGGTCGATCTACGTCTCCTCCTTCAGGGCCGCCTGCTGCAGGCTGCAGCCCTCTTGACATCTTCGAGCTGGTTCTCATCAGAATTGTTCTGCTTGTCTTTGGCGAGGTTGAGCCGCTCTCCGGTCTTCTCGAGCTCGTTGGGCGCCTTCCAGAAAGCGGCCCCAGCCACAGCCACCTTGTCTTTTGCCTTCGCTAGGGCCTCCCGACGTCCACTGCGGGCTTGCTACGCCTGCCTCTCGGCCTTCGCAGCTGCCTCCACCTCCTTCGCCATGGTGGTAGGCTCCACTGCCACCAGGACACCCCGCTCACCGCCAGTGGGGAAAGCAGGCGGCGGCGCAGGAGGGATAGCAACGGCAAGGGGCCCTTCAAGTACAGGAAACTGGGCGAGCGCGGCACAGGCTTGTTCAGCAAGCCCTGCCTTCAGGTACACCGTCGCCTGTCGCCTGCTCCATCACCGAGTCCTCCAGGAAACCCATGTGGTTGCTCGTGCCCAGGTACAGGGAACCACATTTACTGCACCAGGCGTTGCCCCAATGGGCGTACTCCCAATGCCGACAGGTACTGCACATGCTGTATATGTACTGCTTAGCAAAAGAGCCCTGGGAACCGCGCGGCTTCCAATTCACCGCCTCCACTTCGATCGCGAACAGAAATGGGCCGGCACGCCAGCTAGCACTGCTCCACCCGCGAGACGCAATCGCATGCACCGCTGCGGGGAGATCGGGAGCTTCTCCAAGAGCTCACAACAACAAAATGGCCACCGCTGCTGGCCGTGCCTGAACCGAGGTTGGGAAATTAAGGAGCAAGAGAGGCTACGGGAGCAGGAAAGAGCAGGCCCCTTGAGCCAAAATGGCCACGGGAGGGAGAAGGAGGAGCAGGAGGATGAGGAGGAGGAGGAGGAAAAGGAGGAGGAGGAGGCGGAGGAGGAGGAGGAGGCGGAAGAGGAGGAGGAGGAGGAGGAGGAGGAGGAGGAGATGATGATGATGATGATGATGAGATGATGATGATGAGGAGGAGGAGGAGGAGGAGGAGGAGGAGGAGGAGGAGGAGGAGGAGGAGGCGGAGGAGGCGGAGGAGGAGGAAGGAGGAGGAAGGAGGGAAGGATGGAAGGAGGGACAGAGGCTGAACGAGGCAGCAAGATGGAGGGGCCTGCCGCACGCCGCCCGCGTGCGGCAGGGCCACCGCGCGGGCCCGAGGCGCGCCCCAGGCCGGCCGCAGGCCTCGGCGACACGACGAGGGTGGCCCCGGGGCAGGCGCGGCCCTCGGTGTGCGGCCCGCCGGGGGGGGGACCCGTGAGATTTTTTGGAGTCCCGGGGCGGTGCGGTGACGGACCGTGCGGTGAGCTCGAGATGCCCCAAGACCTCTGTTCTCTCCCCCCAGAAGCGACAGAACGTGCTGTAAGTCACCCTGATGACTTTCGGCGCTCATTCTGGGATCCCTGGGGACCGCGTGTTCCCACCGCCGCTGCACCCACGGGCCCCGTCCCGAAGAAACAGCGCAAAAGCCCCGCTAAAGCCCCGCGAAATCCCCCAAGACCTCACCGCACGGTCCGGCAGCGCACGGTCTTGGGGCCTCGGGTGCCCCAGTCGCCCGGGACGTCCTCGGAGAACGACTCGCGTCCCAAAACCGAGCGGTGGCCCCGGATCCCCACCGACTCACCGCACGGTGTGGTCACCACCCTGTTCGGGGCCCCCCGAGGGATCCTGGGATCCCGATCTCGTAGGTCGCGACCGGCAACATCTGGTATCGAATCATCTGGAGAGGTTTTTCGCAGCTCTTGGCTTCTCGAAACCCTCGCTGGGCCCCGGGTCCATCAAACAATGATTCGGGACAGCAGAAGCCGGCCCTGGGGAAAAGGTCGAGACTTTTCCGGGGGCCCGTCTTGAGCAAAAACAAAACATCGGATCGATGCTGGCGTTGCATATTGTGCCGCAGCGGGCGCAGCTTCGGGCCCCCGGGCCCTCACATATTGCTGGCGCAGAAAGGTGAGGTCCGGGGTTCCGCGGGTGATTTTTACAATGTTCCAATCTTTCGAGACTCCGGATCTCGGGAACACCGCCGGGCGCGCAAGCCGCTGCTGTCCCAGATCCCCCCACGTCGTGGCTGTTCCCTGGCGTGGGCCCTGGGAGCGGCTTCGCACCCCGAGTCGTTGTATGACGGCCCCGGGGGCCCGGCGAGGGCCTCCAAAGGCCGAAAATAGCAGAAAGCTTTCCGCCGTGTTCATTGCACTCTACCCGAGGGTCTGGGACCGCATCTCATTCAGCGGCCGGGGGGCCCCCTTCGGCCCGCACCACGAAGGCCACTTTGGCGAAGGGTCGCTCCTGTGTGTATAGAGGCCTCCGAGATGGGGTCGGAGCAGATGGGGTCGGAGGATCGCGCCGCATCGACGATACATCGGCGATGCACCAGCGATGCATCGGGGATGCATCGGCGCCACCGGCGTTGCACAGGCGACGCCCGAGCGGAGAACACCGGGCTCCACATCGAGCCGCACGGGCGATGCATCGGCGAAGCAACGCCGACCTTCGACCCCGTCTGCGTCGACCCCATCCGGGAGGCCCAGAGGTGTATGCCCGCAGGCCGCCCGCCGCGGCAGAGAGCCCCGGGGCACTCGGCGGCGGCCCGCCGCCGCCCAGCAGCGCCTCCGCCCACAGCGCCTCCTCGAGGGGGCCCCGTCAAGTAGGGTGAGGTCGGGCAGGTCCCCCTGCAGGCGGATTTTGGGCGAAACACCTAAAACATTCAAACTCTAGCACGAATTAACCAAGCAATATACCCCAAACATCGTCCCCAGACTAGCTTTTGACTATCTTTGAATGTCCTTCCTGTGCAGGGACAGGGCCGACTCAAACTTCGGAGGGGGGTGGGGGGAGGCGCCGCCTCCGGGGGGAGGCGCCGCCCCCCCAGAGGGGCCCGCCCCCGGTGGAGACGGGCGGCGGCTGCCTGGCCCCCACGCCGAAGAGCCCGGCCGCTTCGGGGGAACCAAAGATAGACGAGCGCGCTCCACGACTCGAACAGTGACTGCTCGCAAATGGCCTGGACCCGCTGGGGGGGGAGATGCGAGAAACGACATCGGATCAGACATGTGCCTTTCGAGCGCTTGCGAGCCTGCACTCTGCGAGTCGTGGAGCGCGCTCGGTGATAGAGGCCTGCCGAACAATGTTCTAAGAACTTTCTGTGATTTCCACGAAGTGTTCTCGGAACATTTCTGGCTGGGACCGTCTTGTTTTACCACATCGGGCTTATGTTCTAAGAACACTGTTTTTATTTTTAAAACGTTTTGGGATTCTGAGAACATGTCGAAGTATGCCTATAGGAATGCCGGGACGGTCGGTCCTTGCTCAAATGTGGGGAGCAACGATACGGCCGCAAACTTTTGCCTAGCGTGTCGCGGCGGCGGCCCTGGCGACACGCTCTGCCCTACGAGCGCATGGCGCCTCGCTCCTCTCCGCGGGGCGGGGGCTCGGAAGGGCAAGGGACGATGAAATCTGGGGACTGGAACTAGGCTAGCATGTCGCGCCCAAGCGCGGTGGGCCATAACCGGCGGAGCGACGCGCTGTCCGAAAGTTCCCGACCGGCAGTGGGAGGCAGCTCAGGGGGGGACACATCGAGATCGAATCGGTGATGCATCGCCGACTGATCGGCGATGAGCTCCCGATGGCGAATCTGCACGCGACCTGGCGGGGCGGGCTGTCAAGCCCCCCTCGTAGATGCATGGGTGATTCGGCGACGCCCAAGAGAGACCCTAGGCAAGAGTGACCTTTAGCGCGTGGACTAGCGGGGCGCAGGGTGGCCACATCCAAGCGCGCAAGCAGCCACTGTCACACCGCGCTCAGCGATCGGGGGCACCCCGATGAGCCCGCGCAAAGGGTCACTCCGGCGAAGGGACACTCTTCCCAGACCGCCGACGGCATGAACTCTTCATAGTAAAGTCGAATCCAGGAGGCATCGACTCATTCCCGAGGACAAGCTTTTCATCCAGGGTCGTTTTTGTTGACGGTCCCGAGGCCAGGAGAGGGTCAGGGGAGGGCCTCCAGGGGCCGAACGCAAAGGACAACCTCCCGTCATGATTCCTGCCATGCCCCGAGGGGGAGGCCAGGGGAGGGCCTCCAGGGGCCGACAGCAGAGGACAGCCTCCCGTCATGATTCCTGTCGTGCCCCGAGCTGGGCTAGTGCAGTCGAGACTGGGGTCAGGTCGGGCGTGTCCTCCTACAGGCGGATTTTGGGCGAATGCCCCAAACATCACCAACAAGTATTCAAGAATCGTAGACCAATCGCCCCGAAACTATTTTTAAACAATCTTTGAACTTTCCGCCTGTAGAGGAACATGCCCGACTTAAGACTGGGGGGTGGATGCACATCTCAGGCCGGGCGAGAGGGGGAGATAGCAAAGGGGGGGTTTGAGAATCAGCTCACTCAGCTGATCTTCCCTGCGCCTGCTGGCGCCGGGAGGCGCCCATGTATCGAGGAGTGGGCTCGGCGGCGGGGCCGAAACCAGCTGCATGCAGCAGATTTCGTTCGACCCGAACATCGTCGCGCCCCCCGGCTCCTCGTGCGCCCGCCGCGGGCCCAGCGCCTCCGGCGTCCCCGCCGCCAGGGGCGCCTCCCGCGGGGCGACGCGGCAGCCGGAGGCCCAAAACGCACTGGCAGGCAGGCATCGGGGCGGAGGCTCGGCGCCGGAGGAGGAGGAGGAGGAGGAGGAGGAGGAGGAGGAGGAGGAGGAGGAGGAGGAGGAGGAGGAGGAGGAGGAGGAGGAGGAGGAGGAGGAGGAGGAGGAGGCGCGCGGAAGCAGGACCCTGGGGAGCCCCGGCGTCGGGCCCCCGTGAGCGGGACCCTGGGGAGCCCCGGCGTCGAGGCGCTGCAGGCTCTGCGCAGCAGGGGCGCCGTCGCCCGGCCTCGGGCCCACTCGGCCCCTCCCGCGGACCGGTCGCAGCGCGGGGCATGCCGCGGAAGACCGGGGTCTGTGGGGCTCTGGTCGTGAGTTTTTTTTTTTTTTTTTTTTGTGTGTGTTTTTCCCCACATCCTGAGTGGGGTTCTTGTTTTCCCAGAACACCCTCTCCTTCCCACCCACCTCATGCTCACCATACACACCATACCATACCATAGTTCCTACCACACATACCATACCATACCATACCATACCATACCATACCATACCATACCACACCATACGTACCATACCATACCATGGCGTACCATAGCATACCATACCATACCACACCAATGCCACACCGTACCATACCATACCATACCTCCAGTACCATACCATACCATATCATACCATACACCCTTCCAGGGAGGCCCCGCCTGAGCGAGGAGGGTATCCGCAAACCATACTATTTACATGGTTTCGTGCCCCTCCCACCCTTCCAGGGAGGCCCCGCCTGAGCGAGGAGGGTATCCGAAAACCATACTATGAACATGGTTTCGTGCCCCTCCCACCCCTCCAGGGAGGCCCCGCCTGAGCGAGGAGGGTATCGGAATACCATACTATTTACATGGTTTCGTGCCCCTCCCACCCCTCCAGGGAGGCCCCGCCTGAGCGAGGAGGGTATCGGAATACCATACTATTTACATGGTTTCGTGCCCCTCCCACCCCTCCAGGGAGGCCCCGCCTGAGCGAGGAGGGTATCGGAATACCATACTATTTACATGGTTTCGTGCCCCTCCCACCCTTCCAGGGAGGCCCCGCCTGAGCGAGGAGGGTATCCGAAACCATACTATTTACATGGTTTCGTGCCCCTCCCACCCTCCAGGGAGGCCCCGCCTGAGCGAGGAGGGTATCCGCAAACCATACTATTTACATGGTTTCGTGCCCCTCCCACCCCTCCAGGGAGGCCCCGCCTGAGCGAGGAGGGTATCCGAAAACCATACTATTTACATGGTTTCGTGCCCCTACTATTTACCGTTTTCTGCCCTCCCACCCCTCCAGGGAGGCCCCGCCTGAGCGAGGAGGGTATCCGGAAACCATACTATTTACATGGTTTCGTGCCCCTCCCACCCCTCCAGGGAGGCCCCGCCTGAGCGAGGAGGGTATCGGAAACCATACTATTTACATGGTTTCGTGCCCCTCCCACCCCTCCAGGGAGGCCCCGCCTGAGCGAGGAGGGTATCCGAAAACCATACTATTTACATGGTTTCGTGCCCCTCCCACCCCTCCAGGGAGGCCCCGCCTGAGCGAGGAGGGTATCCGAAAACCATACTATTTACATGGTTTCGTGCCCCTCCCCCCTTCCAGCGGGGCCCCGCCAAAGCGAGGAAGGCATCAAGAAAATGGGTCCCACGAAACCGTTAATCTCTTTATGTGGGGAACTCCGTTAGCATAATTGTTTTGTTTTGTTTTTTTGTTTGCTCTTTCTCAAACTCGGCTTGTCCTACACGAGTCCTGGCTCATCATAAGTCGTTGGTCTTCGGACCCCCCCCTTTTCCAATCCCCCCCTTTTCCAATGGCCCCTCCCCCCTTTTTTCAATGGCACTCGCTTGCTTGCTCTTGCGTGCTTTCTTTCGCTTGCTTTCGCTTGCTTGCTCTTGCTTGCTTGCACTTGATCGCTGGCTCTTGCTTGCTTGTTATTGCTCGCTTGCGCTTGCTTGCTTTCGCTTGCTTGCTTGCGCCTGCTTGAATTTGCTCCTCCCGTCCTCCTCCCGTCCTGCTCCCGTCCTCCTTTCGTCCTCCTCCCATCCTCCCCTCGCCCTCCTCCTGTCCTCCTCTATCTATTTTTTCTCCCCTTCGCAGCGTCAGATCCATGGGTGGAAGGAAAAGGAGGAGGAGGAGGAGGAGGAGGAGGAGGAGGAGGAGGAGGAGGAGGAGGAGGAGGAGGAGGAGGGAGGAGGAGGGAGGAGGAGGGGCGGAGGCGTCAGATCCATGGGTGGAGGAGGAGGGAAGAGGAGGGAGGAGGAGGAGGAGGGAGGAGGAGGGAGGAGGAGGGAGGAGGAGGGAGGAGGGAGGCGGAGGGAGGAGGAGGGAGGAGGGAGGAGGCGTCAGATCCATGGGTGGAAGGAAAAGGAGGAGGAGGGAGGAGGAGGGAATCGGAATCGGAATCGGCCCCATCGCGGTGCGACGCGACGACCAGCAACAGCTCGGGCTACGAGCGCTTGGCCCGACTCGAGTTCCTCGGGCCGCCCTCCGCACAACCAGAAGTGGCCGAACCAGAAGACAGAGGCCATGACAAAACAGGATAAACAGGACGGACAGCAAAACACATGAAAAACAAAAAAACAGGACAACAGGAGAAGACAGGAAGGTCATGACAAAACAAGAAAAACAGTAAAAAACAAGACAAGACATGAAAAGACAGGAAGACAAGAAGTGGCCGAGCCAGGAGACAGAGGACAGTACAAAACAGGACAAACAGGGAAAAACAGGGAAATAAGTGGAACAACAGGAGACAACATTAAAAAACATGAAACAACAAGACGAAACATAAACAAACAGGATAATCAGAAGTGGCCGAACCAGGAGACCGAGGACAGGAGAAGCAGGAGACGGAGGAGGCCGCCCACAGCCGCCCGCGCATACCTCTGCTGAACCATTCGTCGCACACAGAGAACGAAGACCACATTGCACACAACAGTGATGGCCAGATAAGCAGAGATTCCTCCTCCTCCTCCTCCGCCTCCTCCTCCTCCTCCTCCCCCTCCCCCTCCCCCTCCCCCTCCCCTTCCTCCTCCTCCTCCGCCTCCTCCTCCTCCTCCTCCTCCTCGACCTCGATCCGGCCCTGTCTGTGATGAAGCCCACCACCGGTGACTGGGCAAACCTTTAGCCGGACAGTCTCGAAAGCTGTGTGGGTACGGAGCTCGCTTCCTCCACGAACTGCCTCACCAACAACCAGACTAAGGAACAACAAATACCCGAAACGAAATGCGCAATTTCGTTCCTCCAGAACTGCCCACAGCCCAACATTGAACAGTAATAGCTGTAAACGAACGGCTGCAAAAGAAAACTCCAACCACAACTAGCTCAGAAATTATGCCTTGCGGTGGCCAGGCTCAGCCGACACCGGAAAGCGTTCGCCTTGCGCTGGCCAGGCTCAGCTAATTACCAGGTACCTGTTGCTGAAGCCCGCAGACAGCTTGGTGAGCACGTGCGGAAAACAAAAGGGGTCACGGGTTCAGGCACCAACCGAAGAGGGGGCAGACCCAACCCAAGGTGGACCTAACCCGACCTATCTCCCGCACGTGGATCACGAAAAAGATGCCGAGCCCCTGCTCTAGAAGAACAAACAACACATAAACATAAACTTTTGGCACTCCGCGTGGGTTTCTTGGATTCGCGCTGGACCACTCTCCCTGGCGCGCGGAGCGCGCCAGGGGCTGCACCGGAGGCGCCGCCAGGGGGCCCAGGCGCGGATCCAAGAAATCAGCGCGGAGCGCCAAACGTTTATGCTTATGTGGCTCTTTCTTCTTCGATGCTCAACTCTTTGTCCGACTTCGCCACCGCTTTGGAGTCCCGAAACGGTACGGTGACGGACCGTGCGGTGACCTCGAAATCCCCCAAGACCTCACCGCACGGTTTTGGGGACCTTGGAGGCCCCTGTCGCCCGAGACGCCCTTGGAGAACGACCCGCGACCCAAAACCGTGCGGTGACCCCGAATCCCCACCGACTCACCGCACGGTGTGGTCACCGCACCGTTTGGGGGCCCCCGAACCGCGATCGGCAACCCAATGAAACCGGTGGAGGGCGCGGTGCCCCCCAAGCGCCACGCTGCGGCGTCGGGCACGACGCTTAGCTCGCCGAGGGAGGAGGAAGAGGGAGGAGCAGGAGGGAGGAGGGAGGAGGCAAGGAGGAGGGAGGAGGAATGAGGAGGAAGGAAGAGGGAGGAGGGAGGAGGGAAGGAGGAGGGAGGAGGGAGGAGGGAGGAGGGAGTAGGAGGGAGGAGGAGGAAGGAGGGAGAAGGGAGGAGGAGGGAGGGTCCTGCTGTTTTCTGGTGTTCCTGGTCCCTCCGCGGCCCTGCGCGGGCCTGGGGCCTGCTGGAGGACGCCTCAGGTCGAGGAGCTGGACACTGGGGGAGCCCCGAGGTCCAGAACCTGTCGGCGGCGCGCAGAAGGGGGTAGAGGGAAGGGGGCCACGGCTTCTTGGAAGGAGGCTGCTTCTTAGACGGCGCTGGCCTTACATCTACAGACAAGGCCCGCGCCTTCGAAGAAGCAGGGGCGCTTCCAAGAAGCCTTCTCCCCTCCCCCTACCCCCTTTCTGCGCATGGCCGAACCTGCTTCCCCCAAGGGCCCAGTCGCTTCATGCCAAACCTCGGCCCCCGACCCGCGACCGTTGATCGTCGATCCACGGCGACGATGCCGACGGCAGCGACAGCGACGGCGGCCCAGAGATCCGATGTCTCGATCTGCTCGGCGCGGGGCCGCCGGAAGCCTCGGCCCGCTCCCGGGGACGGGCTCGTCATCCCGCGCCGCTTCCCGGCGGGCCCCGGGGCTCGGGCGAGGGCCTCTGGAGGCCGCGAGCGGGGAACGCCTGCCGTCGTGCTCCTCTCCCGTGGCGCCGGCTCTCCGGGCGCGTCGGCGGCGGCGGCGGCGGCCGCACCTCCGGCGCGCCGCGCAGGGCGCCCAGCTCGCGCTCCAGGCGGGAGACGCTCCGCCTTCGGGGGCGTCCAGAGGAGAGGGGCGTCCCAAGCGGGGGTGCGCAGACCATGGCCCCAGGCACGTGCGCGGGCGAGGGGGGGTCCAGGAGACGTCTTGAAGTAAGAAGAAGGGGTCCTCCTCCTCCTCCTCCTCCTCCTCCTCCTCCTATTCTTCCTCCTCCTCCTCCTATTCTTCCTCCTCCTCCTCCTCCTCCTCCTCCTCCTCCTCCTCCTATTCTTCTTCCTCCTCCTGCTCCTGCTCCTCCTCCTCCTCCTCCTCCTCCTATATCTAGGTATTTTTCCAATAAGCTGTCCCTGGCAGCCTCGACCCACTCCAGGTGGCCAGCTCTTTCCCGAGCAGTTTTCTGACGCTGCCGGGGCCCGGGGAGGGCCTCGAGAGGCCGAACACGGCGACATAATTACCTCCGTCTTGATTTTTCAACGCGTCGGATCTCTGGATGCGATCCGACGTCGCGCAAGACGTGAACCGTCGCGAAAAATCACGACCAGAGCCTCGGACCCCATCTGTCCATCTTTCTGTGACGAACCAACAACACACACCCATACCCATAGGGGGGTCGGAGAGGGCTATGGGTGCGTGTTGTCGGATGGGGGTCCCCGCTCGAACGGGAGCGTTCCCCAGGGTCCGACAACCCGCACCCATACCCATAGCCAGTCCTCCTCTCAACGACCCCCCTATGGGTATGGGTGTGTGTTGCTCGTTCGTCATTCTGCGCCAGTTCTCACACCGGATCCATCTGCGAGGGCCCCAGGGCCCGACAGGAGGCCAAAACGCCAAGCACGAACAAATCGAGACGGCAGGATCTTGCGCGAAAGGAGGCGAAGACGCCAAGCACGAACAAATCGAGACGGAAGGATCTTACGCGATATTCCCGCCCCCCCCCCTCGTCCCTGACCTTCCTCCAAAGTGGAACAAAAATAGCCCCCTGGACCGACAGACCTTTGTCGACTGCCCACAATCTCGGCTGGAATTCAGATGCCGACGTCCTGGTGCTACTTTTTAGCCCTGGAGTGTCAGGGTGGAAGGGGCCCAGGGACACACAACCAGATTCGCCGGCCCAACGGGCCATGGGTATGCCAAAATCTCTCTTGTAAGACTTTAGGAATGTTTCTGGTTCGCGCGCGCGCGGCGACCCCCGAAGGTCCGCGGACCAAAAGTACCCCAACAAGGTCCCGGCAAGGTCAGGTCAGAGATGCCATTGGAGGCCAGGAAGTTGGCACCAACACCAACACAGGGGGGTGTCTCCACAGGGGGGAAGATGATCCTAGATTTCGGTGTTGGTGGCAATATTCCGGCCACCCTGGAAGCCAACATATTACCACCATCACCGAAATCGGGATCTTTCTTCCCGCGGTGGAGGAACACCGCCGATATTGGTGTTGGTGTCGATCTCTAGGCCTGCGATGCCAGAACTCCTAGGCGCGGCCTCGAGGCCCCCGCGAGCGCCCCAAGGAGGCGCCAAGAGGGTGGCACGCCACGCGGCCTCAGGCCAAGAGCGATGCACGATGGCCCACGTGGGTCCCAAGACTGCCCAAGAGGCGCCCAAGACGCTCCAGGAGGGCTCCAAGAGGACTTCGAGAGGCCCCGACGATGCGCAAATCATTGATGTTGCTTGACTGCCCAAGAAGCGCCTAAGACGCTCCAGGAGGGTTCCAATGAGGACTTCGAGAGGCCCCGACGACGCGCAAATCATTGACGTTGCTAGGGTTTTCGGGCGGTACCGCCTGTTCGAGCTGCCGACCGCCCTGGCCGGCCCAAGAGGCCCCAAGATCGCTCCCTACTGCAAAACAAATCTACAAGAGGACATCCACATGGCCCAGGATGGCCCTAAGGCGGCCCAAGAGGCCTCCAAGACGGTCCCAGGATGATCCCAAGAGGGGGCCCAGAGGGGGAATCCGAGCAGACATGTCGATCTCTCGGCTACAAGAGGTTCCCAGGAAGCCCCAAGAGCCCCCCAAGAGGCTCCAAGAAGAGCCCAAGAAGCCCCCAAAGATGCTCCCAAGACCCCCAGCCGGCCCCCAGGAAGCCCCAAGAGGCCCCGAAGAAGCCCCCAAGATGCTCCCCAGAGGCATCAAAACTGCTCCCCAGAGGCTCCCGAGAAAGACCCCAAGAAGCATCCAAGAGGACTCTGTCCCACAAAACAGGTACGTCTCGAAACTCTGCTGGAGCTCTCTTGAGCCATCTGGGTGCCCTCTGGGGCAGTCTTCCAGCTCTCTTCGACAGGGTGCGAGCCACATCTCCAAAAATCTCCTCGAGGACAGTCCTGCCTGTCCTACCGTTCCCCATCATGGGTACGAACACACCACCATGCAGCCGCCGTGATGCGAAATGGGCCAGCGGAGTGAGCGAATCGATTAAATCCGCCAGCCCCCTTGCGGGACCACCAGGCTGCGAGGGTGAGGATTGCAGCTCCCTGTGCCAGTTGCAGTTTCCAGTTTCCACTGTTACAGTCCTGCTTTCTGCTTCCTTACTGATACTTGTTGCTGAGCGCGCGAGGGGGGGAACCCCAAACCAGCTTTTTTACCACGCCCGAATCGCGCTGTCTGAGTTCCTGGGGGGGGGGGGGGCGTGGGACACGCGCAAATATATGAAATTCGCGTCCCCGAGATCATAATCCCTTGTAAACTACGCCATATTCGCGTCCCCGAGGCCGTAAACCTTTTTAAAATACACCATGCATCCCCGAAACTATAATCATCACACATTCTACACTATTCGCGTCCCCGAAGCCATAAACCATCGTAAATCATACGATGTTCGCGCCCCCAAGAACATACACCCACGTACATTACATAATGTTCGCGCCCCCGAGGCCATACACCTTTGTAAGTCATGCAATGTTTGCGCCCCCGAGGCTATGAACCCTTCTAAATTACAACAAAATGCGCCCCCAAGGCCATAAACCATCGTAAATTACGCCGTATTCCCGTCCCCGAGGCTATACATGATTCAATATTCGCGTCCCCGAAGCCATTAACCATGGCAAAATACATGAGATTCGCGCGACCGAAGCCATAAACCTTAGTAAGTAAAGATTGGCCCTCGCGTGAAGTCCCGACATTGCTTCACGTCAGCGTCCAAACATCCCAACACAGCTCTGGCAAGTTCCATTCTAAGAAAGGGGGGCCGGCGTCATGGGGGCGAACCCGTTACGGATAAACACAAATCCCAGGATTCCGACTCTTTCCCAAAGTTTCTCTGGATTTCGTCTTCCCCCTCCGCTCTCCATATCTTTTCGCTATTCTTTTCTGGGAAACGACGCTCACTTGTATCGGCGCTCACTTTTCCTTCCTGAAGGGTCGTCGTCGCCCCACTCTCGGCCGCCCCCGGCGCCTCCACGCGCCGTTCGGCCCCCGCGGCACCCAGGGGCTGGGCGCGGGCCCGGGCCCGTCGGCGGACCAGGCGCGCTCCGCGGGCTGCGCCCGCGCGGAGGTCTCGGGGGGAGCCGGGCGCGCAGTGAGCGTCCTCCGTCACGACGACGACGATGCCGACGACTACGACTAGGACGACGCCGACGACGACGACTAGGACGACGACGGCGACGAGGACGCGCGCAGGGAGATGGGGTCCGAGTACATCTTTGAACTGTTCGCTCGTGGAGCCAGTCCGAGAGCATCAGTTCAGCATCGCTACGATTGCAGCAACATCAGCGCTGCTCCCCTCTGTGTGATGCAGCGTTGGGGTGAAGCAGCATCTGGATTTGAGGCGCATCTGGGGTTGGTTGGATGGGGTCCGAGTGCATGGTGTCGGAGGATCGTGCCGCATCGGCGATGCATCGACAATGCATCGGCGATGCTTCGGCGATGCATCGGCGGTGCTTCGGCGAAGCCAGCGCGGAGAAAATCTGGATCCACATTCAGCCTCATCGGCGATGCATCGGCGATGCGGCGCGATCTTCCGACCCCATGTACTCGGACCCCATCCAAGAAGCCTACATCAGTGAGCCCTCCCCAGAGATCCAACGTATTGAATAAATCGAGACGGATACTAGATCATTGGATACTGGATTCTTTCGGTCGCGATCGATAGCGACCGATGGGCACTCCAAATCGGTGGCGACCGACTTTGAAGCGAATCGGTCTCGACCGATCTTGAAATTTGAAAGAAAATCGGTAACGACCGATCTCGTCGGTCGCGACCGAACAAAAACCTGTATAACATGACTATAAAACAAGAGATCAAAATTTTCGGCCTTTCGAGGCCCTCGCTGGGCCCCGGGTCTGTCAAAACACGACTCTGGATAACAAAACCAGCTGTGGGGAAAGGGTTGAGACTCCCAGGGGCCCGTGTTGCACGAAAGCACAACCTCGGATCGATGCTGGCGTCGCAGCTTTTCCGAGCTGGGAGCTTTCGCCTCATTTCGGGCCCCGGGACTCTCACATATCGATCCAGCTCGAAAAAGCTGCAGAGAAGGAGGAGGGGGAGGAGGAGGAGGAGGAGGAGGAGGAGGAGGAGGAGGAGGAGGAGGAGGAGGAGGAGACTGCTCGATCTGGGGCTCTGGCCGTGATTCTGCTCGCAGCACGCCGCGCTTGTGGGCACGAGGGACGGGGCGGGCGCGGGGTGGGTCGTGGCTGGGTCGCGGGTGGGTCTTGCGGGCTGGGTCGCGGGCTGGGCCGCGGGCGGGTCGCGGGCGAGGACGACGACAACACAATGACATCATACCAAGCACAATCCGCCGGACGGGGCGCCACTCCTGCCATGCAGCAAGGGACGCTCATTCCCCGCCATTCGCCATCGGCCTCCCCGCCATTCGCCATCGCTCATTCATGCAGCAATGACATGACTGTTCGGCCTCCCTAGCCATCGCTCGGACGTCCCTTCCCTGTGTTTTTTTTTCCGGTTTCGTGCGTGGTTTTTTCGCCAAACGATCAAGGATGCTCCTCGATGGTACTCGCCGAAAAAAAAATGCACACGTCCGAGCGATGCCAAGGCAAGGGACCAAGACTGACATGACTGCTCGGCCTCCTCACCCTGACGATGTTCCATTTTTTCCGCGACGTCGGACTTCAGGGGCGCCAGGCTCTCTCAGTGAGCCCTCTCGGCGCGCCCGAGGCGGGGGCGGCATCCATCGGGGATGGCTGGCCACGTTCCGGCCTCTGTGCGAGCGTTTTGCTTTAGCCTTGGGCGACGGCGTGTCCCCCCGGCCCCACAATCCCCCTCTCGCCGGCGGGAAACATACCCGCGGCCTCTCGGGCCGGGTCCCTGGGCCGCGACCCCGCTGTTGCGTCCAGTTTTTCATGGATGCGCCGCGCGGCACGTCTCCGTGCGGCCTCGCATCCGCGGGACCGCGCCCCGGAATCCAGACCGCGAGGGCGCGGATAAGGAACGAAATCAGCACACAAACTATTTTTACATACGTGGTTTCGGTTCGTGTGGATCCGTCCCTATATTGCTTGATCCTAAGATCATCGCCCTGTTCACGGATGCCTTGCCCGTCGCCTTCAAAGGCTGAACATTCTATGCTTTCGCTTAGGCGGGGGAGGGGGGAGGGCAAAGGATGTTTTGGTCTCTGGGCCCGATCAAAATTTCCTGGGCGAGGGCCATGCACATGTTTTCCGCTGCTTCGTTTTGCAGGTGCAGACCCTGTGATTCTTTCAGGGCAGATGAATTGTGCGTTATGGCCACGTGAACTTCTTCGGTCCCCTATCAGGAGGGCCCCCAAGGCTTGTCCCGATCGGGCCTGGGCGGGGGCGACGCCCTGGGAAAAGGAGCGGGGGGGCCGTGCGATCGTCACCCGCGGGTCTTCTGCCCGCGCTCCACCCGCTGGAGCGCGGGCGCAAGACCCGATGCGCTGGCGGAGTAGAGGGCCGCGCCGAGGGCAGGCGGAACGGAACAGGGATGGGCAGGGCGACTGTTCATTCCCCTCTTCACAAGTTTACTTTGGTTTTCACGGACATGTTCGCCGCTCGTGACCTCCCCCCCCTCCGCCGTCTGTTCAAGCAGCGCTGGGCCGAAAAGGCGGGCAAGTGAATTCCGACTTGCGCGAAGTCCGAGTATCTTCACGGGCCTCGCCACGCCCCTCTGCCGTCTGTCCAAGCAGCGCTGGGCCGAAAAGGCGGGCAAGCGAGCTCCGACTCGCGTGAGGTTCAGATTTCCTTTCGGGCCTCGCCACGCCCCAACCAAAAGCAACGTTTCAGGTTATATATAATATCATGTTCATTGTCATTACCCTTATCAGTATCATTATCATTATCATTGTTGTGGTTGTTGTCGTTGTCGTTGTCGTTGTCGTTGATGTTGTTGTTGTTGTTGTTGTTGTTGTTGTTGTTGTTGTTGTTGTTGTTGTGTACTAACTTGTGTATTAGTTATGCTTTTATTCCCCACATGCTTCGTGGGGTTCTGGTTTCCTTCCCTGCCGCGCCGCACCCCGGGTCTCCTTACACCTCCCCTCCTCTCTCTTTCTTCCTCCCCTCACTCACACACACACACTTCACTCTTCCCCCCTCGCCACAGCACTGCTCAGCTCAGCTCAACTCACCTCAGCACAGCACAGCACAGCTCAGCTCAGCTCAGCACAGCACAGCTCGGCTCAGCTCAGCACAGCCCGGCACGGCTCAGCTCAGCTCAGCTCACTCTCTCGACACCAAAGGGGGTGGGCAGGGGGTGGTCTGTCAGCTCGGCCGCTATCCACGACACTGGCGCAAAGGCTAGCAGGCGTGGCACTTTCTCGGCACCACAGGGGGTGCGCAGGGGGTGGTCTCTCACCGCGGTCCCTATCCACGACACTGGCGCACAGCCTAGCAGACGTGGCACTTTCTCGACACCACAGGGGGTGGGCAAGGGGTGGTCTTTCAGCTCGGCCGCTATCCACGACACTGGCGCAAAACCCAGCAGACGTGGCATTTTCTCGACACCACAGGGGGTGGGCAGGGGGTGGTCTCTCACCGCGGTCCCTATCCACGACACTGGCGCAAAGCCTAGCAGACGTGGCACTTTCTCGACACCACAGGGGGTGGGCAGGGGGTGGTCTCTCAGCTCGGCCGCTATCCACGACACTGGCGCAAAGCCTAGCAGGCGTGGCACTTTCTCGACACCGCAGGGGGTGCGCAGGGGGTGGTCTCTCAGCTCGGTCGCTATCCACGACACTGTCGCAAAGCCTAGCAGGCGTGGCACTCTCGACACCACACGCACAGGGCCGCGTAGCAGGCGTGGCACTTTCTCGACACCACAGGGGGTGCGCAGGGGGTGGTCTCTCAGCTCGGCCGCTATCCACGACACTGGCGCAAAGCCTAGCAGGCGTGGCACTTTCTCGACACCACAGGGGGTGCGCAGGGGGTGGTCTCTCAGCTCGGCCGCTATCCACGACACTGGCGCAAAGCTAGCAGGCGTGGCACTTTCTCGACACCACAGGGGGTGCGCAGGGGGTGGTCTCTCAGCTCGGCCGCTATCCACGACACTGGCGCAAAAGGCTAGCAGGCGTGGCACTTTCTCGACACCACAGGGGGTGCGCAGGGGGTGGTCTCTCAGCTCGGCCGCTATCCACGACACTGGCGCAAAGCCTAGCAGGCGTGGCACTTCTCGACACCACAGGGGGTGCGCAGGGGGTGGTCTCTCAGCTCGGCCGCTATCCACGACACTGGCGCAAAGCCTAGCAGGCGTGGCACTTTCTCGACACCACAGGGGGTGCGCAGGGGGTGGTCTCTCAGCTCGGCCGCCATCCACGACACTGGCGCAAAGCCTAGCAGGCGTTGGATGACCCATAGGGAACATTCGCGACGAGGGCTCAGAACGCAGGATTGTGCATATATATATATATATATATATATATATTATATACATAAGCAAACACATAAGATTTAAATTAAGTATGTGGGGTTCCTCGGTAGCGTAATTTCTTTATTTATGTAGGATTTATTTTCACATATGCGTATCTGTATGTATGTATTTACACACACATATATATGTATATATATATATATATATATATATATATAGATATAACGGGCTCTGGGGGCTCTCGCCAGTGAGGGGAACGTTCTTCAGGGGGGCCTGGCTCCGGGGGGTAGAAACGTCCGGGCTGGGGCCGGCGAGATGGCGTCGCCGAGGGACTGGCGAGATGGCCCCCCGGGTGGCAGATCCGCACGCTCCTGGGCGGGGAAAGGGCCAGCTCGGGCCCTGCCTTGGGGGCGCGCAGAACATGGATCTGCGATCCGTGGATCTGGTACGCGGTGGCCAAATCCACGGACCGGGGGAGGTGCCCTCTCCAAAATGCGGCCGGTGCCGCCTCGCTCGGGGGCGGAAGCCCGCGATTTCCCACGGAAGCGGGCCCCGTCGCTAATCCACGCCCCCTTAATCCGTGCTTGCGATCGCCTGAAACTCGGGCCCTGTCGGCGATGAGTGGGCGAGTGGGGGTCGATGCGTCCCCCTGATTGGCTGCACGCAAGAGTGACCCTGGGTAAGTGTGACCTTTGGTGCGCGGCTTTTTGAGGGCCGCGGGGGGGCCAACCACAAGCGCGCAAGGCCATCCTATAGCATCGCGCTCGGCGATCGGTGGACTCATCTGTGCCCGCACTAAGGGTCACTCCGGCGAAGGGTCACTCCTACGTGTAGTTGACCAAAGCCTATCCCTCCCTTTCCTTGCCCCTTACTAAGCCGGGCCCAGGGGCAGCGAAAAAAAGCTGAGGCTGAACAGCCAGCCCCGGGGAAAGGTTCGGGACTTCCAGGGGGGCACCGCGCAAAACGCCGAGGCGTCGCTTCTGGACTGCAGAAGGGGGCGCAGCAGATCATCTGCGCGCCGCCGACTCTGCATCGGCTACACGCAAGAGTGACCCCAAGCAAGAATGTCCTTTCGTGCGCGGCCGGCCGAAGGGGGTGGCCCTTTGGGGACACCACCAGGCGCGCCAGGCGCTGCTGCCGCATCGCATTCAGGGATCGGGGGCCCCGCTAGAGGCCTCCTAGCTGGGGTCGCAGTGGATGGGGTCGGAAGATTGCGCCGTATCGCCGATACATCGGCGATGCATCGTCGACGTCGGCGGCGTGGACGTCAAGCAAATCGGACTCCACATCGAGCCGCGTCGCCGACGCATCGGCGATGCGGCGCGATCCTCCGATCACATCTACAGTGCGGACGCGGCCGCAAGAAACCTTCGCAAGAAACCCAACGCAGAAGACCCGCACGAGAAGTGCGACTGGGGGGAAGTCCAGGGCACCCTGAAAGCATCAGCTCCTTCAACGGCCGCGGGAAGTCACCGCGCAGCGCACGAAGCGGAGAAAGCCAGGGTACCCCGACGAAAAGCATCTGGTTTCCTGATGCCGGCCTCCACTGTACTCCGACCCCATGTGGGGGGCCTAGACCCATTTCGGGGACCTTCTGACCCAGGTCAATGCAAACCCGGGTGAGGCAGGCCGTGCAAGACCCTGCAGGATCCTGCACCCAAGCCTGGGTCAGTGCACCCCTGGCCCTGCAGGATCCTGTAAGATCCCGCGCTCTGGCTGACCCCCGTTTGCATTGACCCCCGTCTCAAGGCTCCCGACCATTGGGCCCGCACCAGAAGGTCGCTCCGGCGACAGGTCACTCTTGCGTGTATTCCCGAGCGCGTCGCGTTCCACTACTCGCAAAGTGCCTACTCGCAAAAATGCGAAACACACATGCCTGCTTCAGTGTAATTTCTCGTAGACCCCCCCCGGCGGATCCAGTCCATTGGCGAGTAGTCACTTGCGAGTAGCGGAACGCGCTCGTCGTGTAGTAGCCGACTGGCCGACTGGAGGGGAGAGGTGCCTGGCGGCGGGGCAGGAAGCCAGCTGCGCGCAGCAAATGTCGCCCCCCCCCCCCCCTCCCTTCCCACCGCCCGCCCTCTCTAGAGCAGGGACCGACCGTCCCGGCATTCCCGTAGGCCTACCACGACCCCAGCTGCCCCGATACGCAGCACGCAGCGTATTGATGCGGAGCTCCGCACAGCCGTAGGTATGACGCGATACGTTCGCCCAAACGTGGGCCAACACGCTGAGCCAACACGTCACGTATTGTCACGGACGTTTTAAGCATGGTACGAGCCGCGTTTCAAAGTGGGCGCACCGAGGCAGCCAAGACCACGCCATGCCCATAGAAGAACATGAGGTTTTAAAGCATAACCGATGCTCTTGGGACATAGAGCCGACGTGTTCGAAGAAGACGATGTCGGCCATACATGTTCTAAGAACATCTCGTGCAGACCGCAAAAGGTTATTATAACATTCTTCGGTGGGCCTCCTCGAGCTGAAGGCTGGGGATGTCTCGAGCGATATGGGAGGGGGGGGGGGCACACCACCAGGGAGACCCCCCTTGCCTCCTCGCGCATCCTCGCCCTGGTGGTGTCGGTGTCGCCTCTCCTTGCTCCTGTCCGAGGGACCCCCTGGTTCTCCTCTGCAGGCCTTCGGCGTTTGGGCTTTCGCACTGCGCGGTGCCTCTGGGCCCGGAGCAGGGGCCGAGGGCTTTCGTGCCTTCGTTTGCGCGGGGCGCCCCGCCACTGCTTGATCCCGCGCGCCCCGAAGCGACAGGGAAGCAGCCGACGCGGGCCTCCTAACCTCCGCGCCTGGCGCCGCGCGGGGGCGCGAAGCGTGCTCTTCTTCCCACCTTCTCGCACGGTCCATCAGGACGTGCTCCTCCTCCTCCTCCTCCTCCTCCTCCTCCTCCTCCTGCCGCTCCTCCTCATCCTCTTCCTTCCTCCTCCTCCTCCTCCTCTTCTTCTTCTTCTTCCTCCTCCTCCTCCTCCTCCTTCCTCCTCCTCCTCCTCCTCCTCCTCTCCTCATCCTCCTCCTCCCTCCTCCTCCTCATCTCTTCTTCTTCTTCTTCCTCCTCCTCCTCCTCCTCCTTCCTCCTCCTCCTCCTCCTCCTCCTTCTCCTCCTCCTCATACTCCTCCCCCCCTCCTCCTCCTCCTCCCACGGTCCATCCGGACAAGACCAGCGATGGGGCCCTCAGTCGTCTTAATTGAGCCTCAAGAGGCCCTCGGGAGCAAACATGCTCAAGGAGGCCATCCTGAGATCCCCTTTGGGTTTTGCAGGATGTTGGCCTCTCGGTAGCCCTCTTCTTGCGGCGTCCTGGGGCCGTCCTGGGCCGAGTCTTGGCGCGTCTTCTGAGGTGCTGTCTTCTCTCGTCTTGTCTTTGTCCTGTCTTGTCTGGCCGTCTGGGGCCGCCTTCGCGGCGTCTTGTGCCGTCGTGGAGTCTACCCCGCGCTTGCTGTATGGCCGCCCGTCGACTGGAGCGGGCCGCCCACCTTCCCAAGGGAAGTTCCTCCCCTGGGTCGGGACCAGGGCTTCGCGACGCGTTAGAGCGTCTAGGATGGCACCAAGAGAATCAATAGCCTCCCGCCCTCTCGCTTCCGACAAGTGGGCCTCTGCGACCCCTAGGTGGCCTTAAGATCGCCCAAGAGGGGCCCATACAAAAATCAGGACGGCCTCCCGAGCGCCCAGGAGCGCCCCGAGAAGGGACCAAGAAACGATGTCGGGATCCGACGGGTGGGGCGCTAAGGAAGGACACCCCTTTTTCATCGATGGCGTTTCGGATCGGCCTAGGAGGGCCCCGAAGGCCCCCAAGACGGCCCGAAGATATCCTCAAGAGGGCCCCAGGAGAGCCCCCCAAACATCCGAAATGACACCGGGGGGGCTCCAATACTGTCCGAGTGAGCTCCCAACAAGCTACTATGTGAAAAGATCCGCGAAGGCATTCATGGTTGAATCCTGGGTCTGCTCAGGCTGATCCCGAGCTTCGGTTTGACAGCTGTCCCCTCCTCTTTGCTCCACTGCTTGCTCCTACACTTCCCTGATCAAGGCAACTTGCATGGACGTTATCTTTGGACGGGCTGGTGGAATGGGGATACGCGTAAAGTCAATCATACAGTTGCCCGCACCATTCACTACAAGGGGGGCAAGTTCCTTTTTCAAATGGGACTCTCGCATTAAACTTACGTGATCCATTTTCTTTTTGCCTACAAGAATTTCTCACGGCCGCATGGATGGAGGACGGCCTACTTTCAAGCCGGAGCCCTTGTCTGACTGCCAGGCCCTGCGGGGCGCTTGTCCTTTGGGGGGTCGCACCCCGTGGTGAGGAGCAGTGCCTGCTGGGACCTATGATGAGGGACTTGGGACGGGAGGGTGAATTGCAGCATCGCTGATGCGCATCCTGGTTTCCTCCTTCCCCTCGTGATCATCCTCCTTCTCCTCCTCCCCTCCGTAGCCATTTTGGCTCAAGCCGCTCTGGCACAAGTGGGGCGTGCGGCAGCGCGATTCAGAGCGGCGCAGCTGCTGCGAGCCATGGCAATGGCCTGATGCCTCCGCGTCTTCGGTTCTTCATAGGGGAGAGCTTCTTTGGCGCGGATTCCTGGAGCCTGTTCGGGGACTTCTTGAGGGCCTCGAAGGTCGACATCGACAATGCCGAGGTCGAGGTCGTCGTCCCCCAGGCCTGCCAGACCCTGGGCCCCAAAGGCGGGAGTGCAGCCGAGGCAGAGGTCCAAGCAGAGAGTGCAGGAGGGCAAGCCTGCGGATCTCTTGAGATCGCCGCCGAGGCGAGTGAAGGTGGGGAGTCAGTGGCTGCCGAAGCTCCCACCACCAGTGATAAAGAAGATCCCGTGGCGCCATGTGGAGTCGGCCGCGTCGGCTGCGGGAAATGTGCAGGCTCAGGGGAAGAATAAGAAAAAGAAGCAGAAGCACAAGGACCAGACCAAGCGGAGCCCCTTCGCGAACCTCAAAGGCCAGATCGACGTGACCCAGGAGTGGAAGCTGAAGGGCTGCAACCTCCCAAAGTGGAAGTGCGAGGGCTGCGCCACGGAGCTAAAGAGGAAGGTGGTGCTCTTTGGCTTCAGGATGCGGTGCCCGTTCTGCCGCATGCCGACGCCGCCTACCACAAAGAGGATGCAGGAGGAGGCCATCCGCAAGTACAACAGGAAGGAGTTCGAGCGCCAGAGTGCTCCCAAGAAGCAGCTGGCGTAGGCTCAGGCTGCGAGTTCTTCGACATCGGCGCCGATACCGAAAACGAGAGCACGCAAGACCACGTTTCTCTACAAGGTCCAGAATAAGAACGGGTTGAAGAGGAAGATGGCCGCAGAGATGGAGCGCAACATGAGGCGACAGGCAAAGGAGGAGAACACGCTGGAGGACATTGACGCGCGCATCCTCAAGCTGGAGACGGACAGGGACAACCTGGTGGAACTGATCGTCTCTCTCCTGCCCTCCCGCCAGCGGGGCTCGGAGGAGGCGCAGACCAGGGTGAACACGCTCAGCCAGCAATCCGAGCAGGCGAATCTCAGCGCGGAGACGGACCTGGTGCGCCTGGAGCGCCTGAGGGAACTGGTGTTGGCCAAATAGACTTCGGGCGCGGCTGCGCCAACGCCTTCTCAGAGGAGCTGCCCGCGATCCCCGCCTTCCCGTCCCTCGAAGCAGTGGTGGATGACATAGAGATCTCGTTGGAGGACTACCTGGAAGGCAAGACGCTCAGTGACCAACTCGCGACAGCCGTCTCTCCCGATGGCAAGGCCGCGGCGCTGCTGGCGAGCAAGGACTTCATGTTCAGGACCGCGCTCGCCCAGGCGCCCCAATGGTGGGGTGCCGTGGCGGGCGGCTCGCAGAGCGACGCTGAGCTGGCATCGGCCCGCGTGCGGCGCTCTCTGGCCCTGGGGTGCCAGGCATAGGTCTGGCGCCCTCCAGTGGCTTGGCGTAGGCTGGGCCTCTGGCGGCGGGGGCGTCCTAGACGGACGTCCGCTTCATCAGACCCCTCAGACCCAGTCTCCTCCTCCTCCTCCTCCTTCTCCTCCTCCTCCTCCGTCCCTGCCCTGATCTACCCGCTCTTCCTCCTGTTTCGTGAGTGGACCCTTCGCGGCAAAGGCGTGTAGCCTCTGCACTCCCCCCCAATGAAAAAGGCTTAACAAATTCTGCTGTTCCTCGACTCGGGCTGGATCTTACACAGCCAATCCCAATGTATGTGGGCATCTCTGTTTGTTCGCCGATTAATTCGATTTCTCCAGCGGATTGCTTCGATAATCATCGGCTCGTCTGGCTTCATCCCTGCAACTCGATCGTAGAACGGTGGTGAAGCCATCAGTAACTCTTCATCCCCCTGCCCCTCCCCCTCCCCCCGCCTCCTCCTCCTCCTCCTCCTCCTCCTCCTCCTCCTCCTCCTCTTCCTCCTCCCCTGACTAAGCGAGACAGCGTCTCCAGCCCGCACTTATCCGACTGGCCTTGCAAGACTCGCGAACACCTGCGAACGGCCTCGTCTGTGAAAGCGCTCCCGGCCCAGTCTCTGCCGCGAAAGCGCCCCGAACCCTCAGCCGCTCCCCATCCTGCTGTGGATTGCCCCGAGGTCGAGAGAACGACGCGAAGCCCACACCTGCGAAAACATGCGTGCACAGCAGGATTATGATGTTGATGATGATGATGCTGCTGCTGCTGATGATGATGAAGATGACGATGACGATGACGATGACGATGATGATGATGATGATGATGATGATGATGATGATATGATGATGATGATGATGATGATGATGATGGTGGTGAGGAGAGGAGGAGGAGGAGGAGGATGAGGATGATGAGGAGAAGGAGGATGAGGATGAGAGAGGAGGAGGAGGAGGAGGAGAGGAGGAGGAGGAGGAGGAGGAGGAGGAGGAGGGGGGGAGGGTGAGGATGATGAGGAGAAGGAGGATGAGGATGAGAAGGAGGAGGAGGAGGAGGAGAGGAGGAGGGAGGAGGAGGAGGAGGAGAGAGGCGGGAGAAGGAGGAGGCGGAGAAGGAGGAGGCGGAGGAGGAGGAGGAGGAGGAGGAGGGGGAGGAAGAAGAGGACAACGACACAAAGGACCCGCCGACCCAGCCGCCGCCAGCTACTCCTCCTCCTCCTTCTCCTCCTCCCCTTCCTCCTCCTCGGCCGCCTCCACCCCCAGGGCATGTGCGCACAGGAGGAGTAAGAGGATGATGATGATACTGGTGACAATGATGCTGCTGATGATGAAGCCGATGATGATGATGACGAGGAGGAGGAAGAGGAGGAGGAGGAAAGGGAGAAGGAGAAGGAGGAGGGGGAGAAGGAGGAGGAGGAGGAAGAGGAGGAGGAGCAGGAGGAGGATGAGGACGAGGAGGACGAGGCGGAGGAGGAGGAGGAGGAGGAGGAGGAGGAAGAGGAGGAGGAGGAGGAGGAGGAGGAGGAGGAGGAGGAGGAGGAGGAGGCAGTGATCCCGCCTACCCAGCCGCAGCCTGCTGCTGCTGCTGCTGCTACAGCTGCTGCTGCTGCTGCTGCTGCTGCTGCTCCTCCTCCTCCTCCTCTTCCTCCTCCTCCTCCTCGGCCGCCTCGAACACCAGGGCCAGAGCAACGGCGCGGTGCGCCGCGGACATGCCGCGGCCGAGCAGCTGCACGCTACGTTTGCTTCATGCCACGGGCGGCCGCCGCGCGGCTTCGCCGCCGCACCGCAGGGGAGCGACCCTAGGGGGCTGGAGCGGCCTGCGCCACGACGGTTGCGGCCCCCCCCCTTTGACTTTCTCTCCGTTGACTTCCTCTTCCTCCGCCTCCTCCTCCTCCTCCTCTTCCATTTCCAACCGCGTAGCTCAGGCGATCCTTGAGATTCGCCTACCCGCACTCCTGTCCGCGCCAGGTGTCTCGGCACGGTTGAGGATTCTCGAGCGGTTGTCTTCGAACTTGCCTCTTCCCGCAATGACGATACATTATTCCATGGACCTGTGATGCAGGAACTTGGAAGGAGGTCTTATTGCAACACCGGTGCTGCATTTTGGGATTGCACAGGTCCTCCTCCTCCTCCCCTCGCTGCTACCTCCTCCTTTCCCTGTCCCTCCTTCTGCTCCGTTTCCTCCTCGTGCTCCTCCTCTTCCTCTTCCTCCTCCTCCTCACCCCCCTCTTCCTCTTTTTCCTCCTCCTCGTCTTCTTCTTCTTCTTCTTCTTCCTCCTCCTCCTCAAAAGTGACTGGGGCCTCGCAGCGCCGTATCACCCTCAGGGGTCCCAGCAGTGACGCGGATGGAAGGCGGTTGGTTGTCGAGACTCTCGCCTTTGCGCCACGCACACACGTCGCGGTGGGCAATCCGTTCTCAAGATTTGGTTCTCGCCTTCGTGCCGTGCGCATTCCTCTTAGAAGCTCCCAACAAGCACACGGATGACGGGCGGCTGGATTTCAAACTGCAGCTTCCGCGCGCCGCACGCATGCACTACAAAAGCTTCCAGCGGCTGCGCGGGTGGAGGGTGTGCTTTCTTTTCAAACTTGCGCTCTTTTCCTGGGACTCCCTCAAACTCCGAGGCCATGCGTCGGAATTCACGACGTGGTTGTACATATGGAGGTCGGCTCATTTTCAAAATGGCGCTTTCCCGTAAAGCTCCCTTCACATCTAAAGCTGGGAAAGAAGCAGTGCAACAGTTCTACGGCTGCAGGGCGGCTCCATTCCACAACGGAGTTATTGACAAACACGTCCTTGGACATTCCATGGACGGGAGGTGAACGCTTGTCAAAACCAAGCCCTCGCCAGAGTGGCAAAGCTTGCCGAGACTTCTGAAGAGGGGAATTGGAAAAGGAGGGTATGTTGGAAGATCGTTGGTGCATTGTGGGTTCACCTTCGCCATCCTCCTCCTCCTCCGCCTCCTCATCTTGCACACCCTCCGCAACCACCACGCTCCCTGTCCTCCACCTGCTCAACCCTCCACATCCACCGCGCCCTCGTGTCCATGCGCCCCCTCCATCCGCCTGAACGTATAAAGGCGAGGTATATCCAGCCAAGTGAGACCGCCTCGTACAAAACTGTTAAAGTTTCCTGGTACCTCCAGGTTAACTTCCTGTCATCCTTCCTCCCCCTTCCCGCTCTCACCCCCTCCAGCTTCCCCTCCTCGGCCCAAAAGCAAGCCCGCATCTGATAGCCTTCTGGTGCGCCACGGCGTCGTGCCCTGGCGCCTTGCCGAGGCGTGCCTGCAACCACTGCAGGCGTGACCGAGTTCCTCGCGCAACGGTTGACATTCGGCGCCACGCCTGGGGATGGCAGTTGGAAGGAGCAGGTCTTCTTTTTAATTTATTATTATTATTATTATAATATTTGTTTCTTCATTTTTATCTTTACTTTTTTATTAATCTTTTTGTCGGAAGGAACAGGCCTTCCGAGGAATTTCCTGCGGCTTCGGGGGAAGCCTTTAGAGGCTTCCCGAACCTTCTGAGAGGAGATCCGCCCCTTCGCGCTTCCCCCTTCTGGGCTCGCCACCGAGACTACGGGTGGGGACGAATCGTGCGAGCCGGGTGTTTTTTCCTGTGGTTGGCCCCTCAACGGTACTGGACATGTTTTTTTTGTTTTTTTTGTTTCCCCTCAACACGATGAAAGCACCCCCACAGGCAGCAGTCCTGGAAGATCTGGCAGAGCAAAAGAGCTCACTGGGAATCAATTTGCCGCGCACACCGTGCGAAAATGAACCGGACGAGCCAGAGACCAGAGAAGGGAATACAGCGTCCTGCGAGCCAGGCCCGAATTACACTGGGGCCGCGGGGCCGCTCGAGCAGAAGCCAGACGCCCGTAAGGACAGCACGGTGCTGGACTTGTGTGGCGATGTCTTGGAAGTGTGCAGCGCTTACACGTCCCAAGTGCATACAACGTCACACCACGCCTCTTTTCGCCTCTCTGTGCATCCTCTCAGTCGGTTTACGGGATTCGGCGGACTCTTCGGTTACGATCGTCGTGGAGAACATGCGACCTAGGCTGCAGGGACGATATACTTCAAGCGTGGTGCAGTGTTTTTTTTTGGCCTAAGTACACGGGGAGCATGCCGGATTAATATCCTCCTGCCTTGTGTGTCCTGTTGTGCTTTCTCTTGCATATTGCTGGTGGTAGGTTCTGGCGTTGTACTTTGCACATGTTTGGCGTGCGTTTGTGTGCAACAATATGTTGGTGACATGTGGAGTCTCAGTGTATCACTTCGGGGCGTGATTCGAGAAACCTGAATGTGCGTGGTGTTGCTTGTTTCCTCAGGTCACACAGGAATGGTGAAGGTCACATTTCAAATTGTTATCTGCACAATCTCTCTCCCCATTATGGCTGTACTTCACATGGCACATTTATGGCGGCCACTTCTTCGTTGGCTGGGAGCAACTCCCAAACAATAGGCTTAACACGCAATGCCAACGTCTGGCTTGTGCAAACCGGTTGCTTCGCTAGGATCACATCCGCGATGGCCTCCAATCCACTCCACCTTCCCCTCCTCGCTCTTCCTGGGGGAACGAAAGGACAGCGATTCCGCAAATCCCCAGGCCTCTCCCGTGGTGCGTTCTGACCAAGACTACGAGGATACTCCAGCCGTTGCGATGAGGGACCTTGATGACGAGCAGCGGTATCGTTTTTTTTCCTCCTCTGACTTCTTCCTCATCCCCGCGCCGCTCTACCTCCGCACCACCCTCCATGCCACCCCAAGCAGATCTGCCCGCTGCACCGTGCCAGCCCACTCCAGGTCTCCTCGCGCGGCTCCCTGCCGCCCTGCATGCGCACCCCCTCCGCCCTCCTTCGGTTGTGACGATGAGCATCATGAGCTCCTGTCGCGCTCTCTGGCGCATAGGCCGCATGCGCAGAGGAGCGGGAGCAGTGGGCGAGACGGGATGCTCTGATGAGGAGAAGGCGGCAGAGGAGGACGCACACGAGAAAGAGGAAGAGGACAAGCTAGGAGGAGGGAAGAGGAGAGAGGCGGGAGAGAGGGGTAGCGTGCCGAAGAGGGAGGATAGAGAATGAAGAGGAGGAGATGGGGAAGAGGAGGGGGAATAGCCATCGGATGCGGGGGAGGTCGAGCATGATGAGGAGGAGCAGGGGAAGGAGACAGAGGAGGAGAAGGCAGGCAAAGGGGGAAGGAGGAGGATGAGGAGGAGGCGGAGATGAACGAGGACGACGGAACAAAAAGGAAGGAGGAGGATGTTAAGGAGGATGAGGATGAGGAGGAGGAGGATGTTAAGGAGGAGGAGGAGAAGGAGAAGGAGGAGGAGGAGGAGGAGGAGGAGCATAAGGAGGAGGAGGAGGAGGAGGAGGAGGAGGAGGAGGAGGAGGAGGAGGAGGAGGAGGATGGAGTAGAGGGAAGAGGAGGAGAAGGAGGCCGCATTAGTAGGAGGAGGCGGAGGATGCGGAGAAGCCAGAGGACGGAGGGAGGCGAGGAGGAGGGGGACGAGGAGGAGGAGGAGGACGACGAGAAAGAGATCAAGGCGACACGGTCTAACACAGCGCCCCCGCGAGGGCACGTGACGTCGGCGCCCTCCCGCGTGTGCCGGGCGGGCCGCGAGAGCCAGCAACGCCCTCCCCGTCCCCAGACGTCCGGCGCCTCGATCTTCTCGAGACGCGGGCCCCCGGACTCTCGACCCCCTCTCCGGGACCGGTTTCTCACCCCAGACCGTTTCTGCGCTGACGGCCCCGAGGCCCGGCGAGGACCCCAGCGGCCGACAACGATATGGACCACTTCCGCACCGCTCTCTGTTCGAGGCGCCCAGTGCCCGCCGGGCCTCGCGTCCTCCATGGCTCGCTTCTGGTGCGGGCTCTCGGCTCGGGGCCAGCCCGGCGCCTGCTCCTCCGCGGCCCACGGCGAGTCGCGCGGGGTCCACGGGCGCCCGAGGAGATCCCTCCTCTCGCGAGGGAGTGCGAGGGTGCTGCGTTTCGCCGGCCGTGCTGTGCCCTCCCACCAGGGTGCCCCCCTGTGCAGAGTACAGGAGGGAGAAGGAGGAGGAGGAGGAGGAGGAGGAGGAGGAGGAGGAGGAGAAGGAGGAGGAGGAGGAGGGGGAGGAGGGGGAGGAGGAGGAGAGGGTTTCGGCCGAGGGAGGGAGGCCCCCCCATCCCGGGCGCGGGTGCAGGCCCCTGTGCCGTCCGACCCCTTGCGCGCAGGTCTCCGCCACGACCAGCCGCGCCATCGAGAATATTGCCGACGCCGCCAGGGAATCGCAGCGTCGAGACCGCTTGATAAGGCGGTTCGCCGTGTATCTCACGCGGCCAGAACAGGCAAGCACATCACACTTCGAGATTGGAGAAGCATAGCTATTACTCTCCACGATGGGCTCCGTGCGCCACACATACGTGTAGATGTGGAAAATATGGTGGCAGATGCCATGCTGGTACGTTTGCAGAAGCCCCCCGGTTCTGTTTTGCGACAAGATGCCCCGCTATACGTTCCAGATCCTTTCTGGGGACAATCGTGGCTGCCAAATTGACCCGTGCGAGACGAGCGGGCAGTGGCAGCCTGGGCATCAGGAAGTGTGTGATAGCGGGCGCCTGGCTCAAGGCACATCTTTGCGAGATGGGCAGACACAGCTGACAAAAGTGGCAGTGGTAGCAGGCAGTGACATGAGCAGTGGCAGCAGCGGGGCAGCAGATGTCAGCGACGTGCGAGA